CCTATATACAAAGAAAAGAGCCAACATCAGATGCAGGGTTGAGGTACTTGCAAAACAAGCACATGGTGAAAATTCAATGATATCTTTCACCAATATAAAAACTTGCAATTTGATTTTCTTTATGTAAGACCAGGAGTTCTAGACTCACCATTATAATTCTCTGAAGATTAAAAATAATCCTTACCACAGAACAAATGTAATTAGGTATGAAAGTATTACGACCTGAACAGACAAAGTGGCCAGGTACAAAGGAGAGGCAACACCCTGTGTCCTGATTTGTAATCTTGGTTACAGACCAAAGAAAACTAGAAAAGCACCCTTAGCCCAAGGCCCAGTAAGTTTATATTCTGTATTTACACCCAGAAGAAACAAACAAAATGACAATGACGGTAATGTGGGTCCGTGCTTCAGTAGGAAGACATGATAAATACAGGTTTTCTGCACAGGGGAGCCCACCGCGGACAGACCATCCGTGTACCCACCAGGTCCGGGTCAGCGTGCAGGCAGCCATCAGCATCAGGGGGCTTTCTCTCCACTTTCTTCTGGCCCAGAGCTGACTTGGGGGGACGAGCCCGATAGCCACCTCCGCTGATGGGAGGGGGTACAGGCCTCAGGCTGGGAGCCTCTTCCCTCCTCTTGTCATAGGGCCGATGACCACGGGCATCCAAATGTAGCTTCAGGGGACCAGGCAGACATAAAGTGAAGAGTGTTGTGGAAAACTTGAGATGTAGTATTCTAACAGTCTCATTTTATAACATAGGTTATTAGATGATGATTTGCTTAAGGACCATCAACTGACTAGCTATTGTTGGCAAATCAATAGGTTCCTCAGGTCTCTTTAGTAAGAGCAGACAGAAAAACAGTGCAAAGAGATATTGTACCCAGAGGAGTTTTAAAGAGTCCTTAAAAAAATCTGCATCAGATAATGAATAGTAATGAACTCAGATTCCTGAAATCTATACATTAGAACACACAAGATACTATGAAATCTATACTGTCAGAGGGAATAAATGTTCTCAAGTCACTTGAATTACTAAATTCCAGTAATTATTTTCACTTTTAATTTTTATGAATTGATTAATTTCTCTAGCTCTTAGTTAATAATAATACTTAAGTGGCAATATGGATTTATTAAAAACAAATGTATTTGTAATAAGACAACAATTGACTCTAACACGTTTGTAAAGGAATAAGGTATTCTGGAGCCAGACTGCTTGGTTTCAAGTCTTGACCCACACTGCTTTCTAGTTCTAAAGATTGTGGGCAAGTTACTTTATCTCTAAAATAAAGTTAGTCATACTATCTGCTATATAAGATGATTTTAAGGATTAAATGACTTACTGCATGTGACACCCTTAGAAGAGTGCCTGGCACATATTAAGTTCTCATTATTATCTTTACTGCAATCACATGTAACAGTAACAGATACTATAGTGTAAGTGGCTTTTCCACTATTAACTCCAATCTTGTCTTCTATTAACAAAATTGTCAAATCATTCTCATGAAATTTCTTACATGATTTCTTTATCAAATGCCATGATTTTCTCATTTAAAATAATTATTTCATTTAAATAATTCTTAGGTTATGTGCATTGCAATTAAATTATTTGCTAATTAAAAAATACAACATTAAAAGATAGTGAAGTGAAAAATATGCAATACAATGCAAAAGTGCTGGCTTGGATTAACTTTATTATCATCGTATGGTCTTTGTCAGTAATTACACCTTTCAGGTGGAGAAGGAAATGGCAACCCACTCCAGTATTCTAGCCTGGAGAATTCTATGGACAGAGGAGCCTGGCAGGCTATACAGTCCATGGGGTCACAGAGTCAGACACAACTTAACAACTACACCACCACCACACCTTTCATCTTCAGGGTTTAATTAAAAATTAACAAAGCACTAGATTTGCACCAGAGACTAAGCTCTCTAGCTATCTGGTGTGTCTAGAGGTCATTGAATGACTCTATTTGGAATTTTACTATCATTTATTCAGTAAGAAACAATACATTTAGTAGGAGAGTGCTAGGCTTTAAACCTAGGCAGATAGGTTACAGATTCTCCTGCTTAACTTCTGAAATTAAACTACAGTATGTTATGTGTAATTGCAATAAAAATAATAACGTATGAAGATTTGCAGGAAATATATATTGTTTCGAAGACATGGTCCTAGTCAGAGATGGTCTGTTCTAACAGGAATTTTATGAAATGTGATTCATCTGTTTATTACAAATCAAATTATAACAGAAGAAAAGTACTTTCTTTTTATTTCAGAGTATCATTAGAGAGGTAGCAAAGGTGATCTAGCTTTACTAGAGAAAAGGAAATGAAAAATGTTTAAAAGAAATTATATGGATATTAAGGTTTATGAAGACCACTTACTGAAATAACTAAAACTAGAAAATCCACTTGGAAGGATAAATAAGTAAACTATCTCTGTGTAGATTAGTCAGTGAGCAGGAATGTAAAAGTGCTTAGCCTACTGCTTTATAAAAGTTGACTCTTATACATTCTTTACATTTTTCTTACCTAACTCATTTAACCATATAACTATCTTTTTATATGTATACTTTGACAATTAGAAGGAGCTATATATTCTTTCTGGAGCTATATATTAGGTTCCATTTAAATTCAACAAATGATCCAAAATGAATCACTGCATTTAATTACTTCATTCACTGTGTACTTTTATTTTTAGTGTGGCAGAGACCATATTATATACAAATAATTAGATCAGGAGTCATCTGATAATAAAGTTTAAATTTTTAAAATGTCATTTTTCTAGGTGTATTTTTGTATTTTGACATCTTCAAACCAGTAGGAGTGATACTTGAGGTAAAACTGCTCTATGAATGACTAAACTAAATGGAGTGCTATATTTCATAACCATTAACAATAACAATATATAAATTTCTCAATAAAAAAGAACAATTTTTAATCTTCTATCACAGAATGTGATCTATTTTACTTTTAGATTTAGTTCACAGTTTTCATTTACCAATAGCCAACAATTTCAGGAGCTATATATTACCTTCCTTCACCAAAGAGCTACCCAGCAATTACACCTTTTTTCTTTTAAAATACTGCTCTTTTATTTTATAGTCTGTGAAATTTTCAAGTTCTTGCTCTCAGATTGTAATAACATATTGCTAGAACTAAATAAAAATCATATACTCAGGACAACAACAATCAAGAAAAACACAACTTACCTTAGCTCTGTCATCTTCTACCTGGGAAAATAAAGGTGATAAACCAGAAAATGAGAAATTATTATTTTGTTTTGATGTAAGAAATACTATACAACATTCTTTAAATAAAATAGGTCCTAGAAATTAACAATTTAATTTCATAACTAAAATCAATGCTAATTTCATTAAAATAAACATTCAGATATAATTATGATCTGGTTATATTTTATATTAATAGTATTAGTAAGAATATAATAATATGTAAAAGTCACCTCATCATAGTCAGCAAGATGTTGGGCCTGAACTATAAAAGCACACAAAAGTAGCAGTAATAGATGTTTCATGGTTTTAAATTTTTGGAAGTCCCAAGAAATCATCCTTTGCTTTGGACCTAACTGAGAGATCTTCAACCCTATATATACCTGAATCCTCTGTTAGCTATCCCTTTTCAAGTGGTTACCTTCCTTAGTTAACATTTAATTTTTTGGTTCACTTGTTGACTGAACCATTTTATCCCTTAAGCAACATCTTCCCAGCAAGACTTATTTACTTGTCATACAATTGTTCTCTGTTGGCCAAGTTTAGTAACACCAAAGTTCCTTAGTTCATTTAATTGGACAATATGATGGGAAATTGGGACATTCCTAAAAGCTGTGTATTACATTTCCTGTAAATTAATGTGGATGCTACACAGGCTCCCAAAGAATGTGTGAAGAAAAAAGTACTTTTAATCTGAGCACAAAATATTGGACCTACTTACAAGGCACCCAGTAACACTGTGAACTCACTAAAGATTTACTGTAAATGTTGTTTGTAGGTAACCCTGTAATTTAGTTTTTGAAAAGGCCACTAAACTCAATAATTACATTACCATATGTTCATCTTATCCTTCAGACATTAATCAGAACAGCAAAATTAATATTCATGCCTTATGCTATGATAGACAAACATCAAAAAGAAAATGTAGTCATTTTCTGCTCTAACTGGTTTTCATATTTTGTTCTTTACTGATACATTAAAATTTTCAGATAATTGTAAACTGTGTTAAAATGATGAGTAGATTATAGATTCCTAAGTGAAAATCATTATTATGGTGATTGGATAGATATTTAAATTTTATTTTTATATTATCTTTAAAACAATGTTATTTTAACACTAGTGAAGCCTGCATTTAAAGTGAAAAGAAAGTGAAAGTCTCTCAGTTGTATCTGATCTATCAGGGAAGCCTTCATTTACCTATTTTAAATATAAGCTCAGACACTAAACGTGTCCCATTTCCTTTCATGATTTCCTATAAGCTAACAAATGCATCTCTCTTATCTTTTCATTGTTTTTTTTTCAATCAGGATTAACAACTCTTACAAGAATCAACAGGAAAACCAAAGCCAACAGCATAAATCCTGGCAAGTGTGCTGCTTTACAGCCTTTTCTGGTTTTTTGGTATGGAAAATGAAACCTTTGTCATTCAATTTTAAGTGATTTTATTAAAAAGATCCAGGTTTGGATTTGAAGAGTATGTTTTAAATAATGCTTGGAAACGGACTCCCAATAATAGAATGAGACAATAAATTTCTTTCTTTGGATAGCTTAAGCGGCATTCCTGAATCTTTTTAACTCAGACTTATAGAATCAAAATATTGAGTTTAAAATAAGAAAAATAGTTGACTGAATTATTCCAAATTTACATCTAATTAATTGGGTTTCCCTGGTGGCTCAGATGGTAAAGAATCCACCTTCAATGCCAGAGACCTGAGTTCAATCCCTGTGTTGGGAAGATCCCCTTGAGAAGGGCATGGCAACTCACTCCAGTATTCTTGCTTGAAGAATCCCCATGGACAGAGGAGCCTGGTGTGCTGCAGATCATGGGGTCACAAAGAGCCGCACATGACTGAGAGACCTTCTTAGAAGAATACACACTCTGAGGAAAACAGATGTATGTATGTGCATGTAATTAGAATAAGATGCAATAATACTTTCCTTCAAAATGTAACTGAGAAAAAGTCCATTTTAACCATCTGGACAGGGTTTTAACGATGTCAGACTTTTGCTGATTTAAAACGATCGACTATGTTAAGAAAACTAAAAATGTTTTTTCTTTTGAGGTAACATTATCACATTATTACTTCATTTTCCAACACTTACATTACATCAACTAGCAGTAGAACCATTATTTAATTTCGAGGTCTGTTAATTTTTAAAATTCCTTCTAGTATACTACAGTACCTTGTACAGCATTAAAGTGAAAATTCCTTTAGTCTCACTTTTCTTTTCTGTTCTGACAGGCATTCTCACCATCATCACCAGGAAAGTGAAGGAAGCTACTAGAATTTACATTCCATAAGACAGAGACCAAACATGCATTCCACAAATAGCTCTTGAGGGTTTTCTATGTGACTAGTAGTGTAATAGAAGCTGAGGATACATTGGTGAATAAGACAGACATAGTAGGCATTTGATTAAAAAATCATAGAATGAGTGAGTGAACTATCTCTCCACTGAAACAGGCCTCAAATGCCAAGTTCTAATAATCACTTATTTAAGTTCTAAAAATGATGAAACTGAGGCTCAGAGGTTAAGAACTCAAGGTGCACTGGTACCAGGACTTGACCCATGTCTAACCAGACAGTTCACACTGCCCATTACAACATATTGCCCAACAAAATGCAAACATGGTAAAGAAATGGCCTGTACCTTTTGGGTTTGCTGTTATTGAATCAGCCAGCCATTTTTTTCTTGAGACTATAGTGTCTCAGATGGGCACTCCCATCCTCACCCTTTATTTTCTCTTACATTTTCATTGTAATATGTGAGTGTGGGTGGGATATTCATATCTGTGTGAGAGGCATGACTGATGGAGTGGTAATAACTATGAGTTTAAGCCTAGTTATTGCTATATTTTTCACAGAGTTACAGCTATACTAACACTTTAAGGTTTATAATATTACACAGTAAATTTCTATATTTTCAATGAGAAGAAACACATTTACAGAGATTCTGCTTACTAAAATACTTAATTTTTTTAAAACATTGATGCCATTGGTGGAGGAGGAAGGGAGTACTATTTGTTCAGTTATACTTGTAGATCAATAGGGCAGGGTTCTTTGTAGTAGCTGATCCCCTTATGTAAGTCAAGGGCAGTAAATCAGTGACAGAGAAAACAGAAATAATCCGAACTGCCCAGCATCTCTCTGGCAAGAAGGGTGGACTTGCCGGCACTGATCATCAATGCACTTTTTGTTGATATTTTTACAATTCAAGCCAGGCCCAGTTATAGCACACAAGGCAATCTGTGTTCATCAAATGTTTATAGAGCACCTACCTTGTGCTAGAGGCCAAGGATACTTTGGTCTCCAAGACAGACAAGTGCCCTGTCCTCGTGAAGCTTTGTGTTTAGAGGGGGAGACAGAAATAAAAAACTGCTTATATGTGCTGAACCTGAAACCCTGTGCCAAAGCAGGGGAAATGTGAGGCTCTGGGAACAGTAACTTACAGACCCAAAACTTCTTCCCAGAGAAAAATGACTTGAAAAGGCTTTTGGACTTGAAACTTGTGGTTTGAGTGACTATATAGTTATATCAGACACCTGACACATAATAGGTTTTGACAAATATCTATTGAACTAGTTTGTGAACATAGAATGAGTGAATGATTGAATGAACAAAATGAAATACTGATTCTCTTTGTTTAGACAGACACAGACTTTGAGAACAATATTAAATCATTGTTAAGTCTCTGTATGGTCTTTTTGTTTGTTTGTTTGTTTGTTTTCTTACCATGAACCGCGGTTTGAGAACCACTAGCCAAGGAGAAATTAATGCTGAAGACTTGGACCAGCGCTTTGATGAGCAAGCCTGAGACCAGGTTGGCAGTGGCAGCCATGATTGGTTAGCGATGGGAAAGCACACTGCAGGGAAGAAGGGTAAGACAGCTCTGTCTCCTGTGGAGAGTCTCCTACTGATTCGGTCAATGTCAATTTGCTTTTCTTAAGGAAGGGGATAGGCTTCCCTAGCTGTTCAGGCAGTAAGAATCTGCCTGCAATTTGGGAGACACAGGTTTGATCCCTGGCTTAGGAAGTTCCGCTGGAGAAGGGAATGGCTACCCACTCCAGAATTCTTATCTGGAGAACCCCATGGACAGAGGAGATTTCTATCGATATTTAAAGAGTCAGACATGACTTAGTGATTGAACAACAGCAACAAAAAAACAAAGGATGCTGATATAGACCATGGCAAGAAGGAGACAAATAGGACATTTTTTCCTTCAACACAATGCCAATCACAGGAGCTAGAGAAAAGAGAGATGATGTTTTACTTCTGTCCCATGAGACTCAAAACCACAAAGGTGTGACAACCATTTTGGAATTTGGAATGCCACTCCCTTCTCTTGGAATGACCCCTAAAATGCAGGAGTGCATCTCCTGTGGTCCTGTTAGTATTGTGATAGCTTGACCTTCTAGCCACAGGTGACTGAGTAGGGGTAGCTCCCTTACCCAAGCCAGCCCTATCAGCTTTTCTTCCCCAATTTCATGTTCGTGAAGGAAACAAGCTAAGAAAATAATCAGGTTGATTGACTAGATGTATATTTACCGCAGCATTCTAGAGAGAAAGTCTACCAACATCGGCAGAAGTCATCAAAACTTCTGAACTTAATAATTTGACCCTTCTGCCAAATCTTTGAGACACGTGATGTCCTTTTAAATAGTAACCCCCCCCCCCATTATCTTTTAGTAAGTTAGGCTGAAATGGCTTCTGGGGTCTGCGAAACTATTTCAAAAAGAAAATTAAGATCAACTGGTGGGGAATCAAGCTGGCTTTTTTTTTTTTAAAGAAAAGCATAAATTGTGCATTAGAAAGAGAAGCTGTGTTTTCAAACAAAGCAATAAATCACTTAAAGTTTTATATATTAAGTACATATAAAAGTATCAGCACTAAAACTCTGTAGAAAATTAAAAATTTTTATTTGGAGTATTTTATAACATTTATTTAAAATTTTTTTCATTATTTAATAACAATGTCACCTGTGCCTGGAAAATCCCATGGACCGAGGAGCCTGGGAGGTTACAGTCCATGGGGTCACAAAGACTCGGACACAAGTGAGTGACTTCACTTCACTTTCACTGAATTAAATTACCAGTATTTTCAAACTTCACTGGTGGCGCAGTGGACAGGCATCTGCCTGTCAATCCAGGGGCCACAGTTTTGATCCCTGATCCAGGAAGGCTGAGCTGAGCAGCTCAGCTCATGGGCCACAACTACTCAGCCTGAGCCCTAGAGCCCGTGAGCGGCAACCACTGAAGCCGGTGTGCCTAAGAGCCTGTGCTCTGCCACGAGAGAACCCGCTGCCCCGGAGAGCGGCCCCACTCACCGCATCCAGAGGAAGCCCAGGCAAAGCAAAACAGACCCAGCGCAGCCAAAAATTAAAAAAAATTAACAGTGTTTTCTGTAAAACGTTCCCAAGATTAGATTAACAACATAACATTCATAAATTTGAATCTTCATAAGGTATACATTTTCATTAGTTAAAAATCTTTTTATGCCCTGTCATTTTTCTGCCTTGAACATTTTTTCAATTATTGTTGCTATAAATGAGATCTTTCCCCCATCATATGTTTTAGCTGCATGTATAAAAGTTACTGACTTTTAACAGAGAATAAAGGGATCTCCTATATTGGTGAATGAATTAAAAAAAAAAAGAGCTCAACTAATCAAGGGGGACTTCCCTTAAAATCCGTACTATAGGCTTCATCCAAACAGATTAATAATATACACTAATAAAGTATTCACCATGTGCACTTTTGCAAACAATCTTTCTACATTTATGAAGAGCAGCACTGACCTCTACTGCTCAAGTAAGGCAGCTCTGGGTATCAGCCAGGATAGGATTGGTTTGCTCATTTTGCTTTGTTTTGATTTCGATTGGATACAACGTTGTGTGCGTTTCAGGCGCACAGCAAAGTGAGTCTGTTATTTATATACATATATCCCCTCTTCTCTCTAGATTATTCTTCCCACATAGGCCACTGCAGAGTGTTGAGTAGAGCTCCCTGTGCTGTACAGTAGGGCCTTCTTAGTTATCTATTTTATATGTAGTAGTGAGCAGAAGTCAATTCCTATTCATCCCTCCCCCTTACTCTCTGGTAACCACAAGTCTGTTTTCTCCATCTGTAACTCTATTTCTGTTTCGTAGCTAAGCTGATTTGTACCCTTTGTTTTAGATTCCACACATAAGTGATATCACATGATATTTGTGTTTCTCTATCTGACTTCATTTGGCACAATCTCTTCACTCGGCACAATCTCTTCACTCAATCACTAGCTCCATCTAATGTTGCTCCAAATGTCATTATTTTGTTTTCTTATGGCTAATATTCCATTGTATATATGTACCACGTCTTCTTCATCTATATTGCCATAGATATATTAGAATCTTGTTTTCTTTTCTGTAATTTTATTGCTCTGTAACATCATGTTCTTTTATATAATTATTTCTATCTATAGGCAAGTTATACTCTGATTTATTTTCCAAGTATATATTTTATATTACAGCATTTCCTTGCAAGGGCTGCCATTAATGACCACAGTTATTGAAAGTCAGTTGTTTAGGCCAAGTGAAGTGTTAGTCGCTCAGTCACTACCTATTCTTTGTGACCACATGGACTGTAGCTGGCCAGACTCCTCTGTCCATGGGATTCTCCAGCCAAGAATACTGGAGTGTGTAGCCATTCCCTTCTCCAGGGGATCTTCCTGACCCATGTATTGACCTAAGCCTCCTTCATTGCAGGCAGATTCTTTTACCATCTGACCCACCACGGAAACGCCCTTAAAGCCAAACTTAAACTCAGAGATGATTGTATTTTCAAATACATGCATGATCTTAATGTTTATAATGAACTAAAAATTAACTTCTAAATGAGATGATCAACTCACATTGCTATACTTTGATAGATTTTTCTCCCTCTTAAAGCAGGGTGCTCTGGTGACAAGATCCGTGGAAACGGAGTATGCCTAAAGAACAGGAGAACCAGTAAAACGCTCATCTATTCAAATTTGCAAATGTACAGTTCCATCAATTTTCCTTCTTACCTAGAAATATAGGTACAACGATCGCAAACTGCAGAGTCTACCTGGGTATAAAACAAAATGCCCATCTTTTGGCACCAGTCTGTATATATTAATACATAAAAATGCCTTGTCTTCAGTTGTGTTTTTCTTCTACCAACTTTGATCAACTTACCCTGGCATTGTTGAAGCCACATTTATCACTGGACAACTAGGAAACAAACAAGAGTTAGGCCAAGAGTTTTGAGAGATTAAAATTTTAAAAAAATTTGTATTAGTGGAAAATAAAAGAAATGTCCAAGAGTTATGAGAGACTCAAAAAAAAAAAAAAAAAACCTATGTTAAACGTATGGAAAATAAATTTGAGATTTTGCCACATGCTGTTAAAACCAAAATCTTTTGCAAAATTTCTCAAATTGAAACTGTTCCAACAAGTGCTTAATGGACTGTGTAAGTGGAATTGTCTCCGGGCGCCAAGAATACAAAGACGTCTAAAGGCTTTCAGCCAAATTGAGTCAAATAGCGCAATCTGGCTACGTAAATCACGGAGGCGTCCCCTCAAAGAAGGCAAGAACGTGGCGTAAGTTCCCTAAAACTGTTTGGTTCGTCTGAAGAAATAGCATTAACATCCCAGAGAACAAAGGGCAAGAAACCACAACAATAAACCAAAGTATTTAAGACTGTGAGTAAGGCAGAAAACGTTAGTATCTCAAGATTTCTGCAACAGCGAGTGAAACGTATCGTAACGCCACTCCTTCAGCCGCTTTGCCGCCCAGAAGCTCCTCCCTAGAGGCGGCCGGGGGAGGAGCCCGCGGCTTCACCCCGGAAGGCGTGCGAGCGCCCCGCGCGCCTGCGCGGAGCCCTGCGTCACATCCGGGCCAGGAAGCCCGATTCCGGAAGGGGCTGAGCCGTGGTGGCGGCGGTTTCTGTTCTGTCTGTTGAGTAGTGCTTCTTCCCTCCTGTCTGTTGAGTAGTGGTTCTTCCCTCCTGGAGCGCCTGTATAGACGGCGGAGCCATGGTCGAGGTAAAGTGACACTTGGGTGCTCAGGGGCCGTCTGCTTCTGGGTTGTTTTTCTTTGGCGGCGGGTGTGGGCGATCGAGGGTTTGGGAGTCTGGGGACTGGTGAGAGTAGTGGCTGCGAGGGGAGGCTGTTTGGCCGAGACCGGGTGGTCACGTAAGGGTTTCTGGAGGATGAGAAGCCAGAGTTGAGAAGTGAAGCGAAAGTCGCTCAGTCGTGTCCGACTCTTTGCGACCCCATGGACTATACAGTCCATGGAATTCTCCAGGCCTGGAGTGGGGATCCAGAATACTGGAGTGGGAAGCCTTTCCCTTCGCCAGGGGATCTTCCCAACCCAGGGATCGAACCCAGGTCTCCCGCATTGCGGGCAGATTCTTTACCAGCTGAGCCACAAGAAAGGCCCAAGAATACTGGCCTGGGAGGACGGTAGCCTTTCCCTTCTCCAGCAGATCTTCCCAACTCAGGAATCGAGCCGGGGTCTCCTGCATTGCAGGCGGATTCTTTACCAACTGAGCTTTGAGGGAAGCCCTTCCAGGCGGGAAGCCTGAGGTATATTACTCCAGTTTTCACGCGGTCCTTGGGTACGGAGTTCGTCACGGTCTTCTTAGGCGGGGCTTTTATCGAACATCGATGTTTGACCACAGGTACTCGCCGTCTGCTGGGTAGAGTCAGTGACTCTGTCCTGACTGGGGGTCTCCTCTGGTCTTCACTTTGTTTCCTGTTTAAGCTCTTCTCCGGGAAGACCTGCCATTCTTGAATTTTTGCATTTCCCCCTAGCTTAAACTATCATTCTGTTAGCAAGCTCTGTTCATCTCATCTTAGAAGTCTTGGCTCTTTGTCTAGGCCCACTGTCATCACCTGAATTCAGAACACATCGTCTTCCATCAGCACTGATGCGTTTGCTTTTGGGTGGTCGGTCTCTTTGCTTCCTCTTTGTCATCCCTCTCCCTTCCCCCCCAAATTGATCTGTTTAAAACCTAAGTTGATCGAGCTTTTCTTGCATGAAACTTTAGTGGGTCTATGTAAAACTAGAGCAAAAATGCACACTGTTGCAGTGGTATAGAAAACAATTTACCAGGACCTTGTCTGTCCTTCTAACCTCATCTTCCATCACTAACCCTCCTTTTCACCGAACATATGCTACATTCTACAGCTTCTGTACTGTACATTATATATACTACATTATGCACTACAGCTTCTGACAGTGTTTCAGTTACAGAACACTTTTGTATATGGCTTATTTCTTCTTACCTGGATTTTTTTTTTCTTTTGATTGATTGATTTTTTTTCAGTTTCACTGGGTCTTCATTCCAGCGCGTGGGCTTTCTGCAGTTGCAGGGAAGGAGGGGCTACTCTTCATTACCATGCGGGACCTTCTCATTGCGGTAGCTTTTCTTTGCCGAACACAGACTCAAGGCACATGGGCTCCTGTAGTTGTGGCGCAGGGACTTTAGTTGTTCTGTAGCCTGTGGATTCTTCCCCGACGAGGGATGGAACCTGTGTCCCCGCACTGGCAGGCAGATTCTGATCCAATGTACCCCCTGAGAGGTCCTGCCTGGATTGTTCTTACCTCTGTTTTGTGCAAGACTGATTCCTTCTCTGCTTAGCTGCTACCTCAGAGAGATCTTCCATAACCAGCCTAAGGTCTTGCTCTGTTCTGTCTTAGCCCCCTGCTTGTTTCCTTCATAGCACTTATTAAAATGTGGAGTTACTTACCCTATTTTTATCTGTTTCCTCTTGAGCACAGGGATGGTGGCTGCCTTTTCATTTTTCTCTTGTTAGTCTCTAGCACGATACCTGGCACTCATTTAATAGGAACTGAGAAGGAAATGGCAACCCACTCCAGTGTTCTTACCTGGAGAATCCCAGGGACTGGGGAGCCTGGTGAGCTGCCATCTATGGGGTCCGCACAGAGTCAGACACGATTGAAGCAACTTAGCAGCAGCAGCAGTAAATGTTTATTGAACAAATGACTGATTTCCGGCATCACCCAGTTGGTACACCTGGGGCTGTGGCCCAAGAGGAGCTTCCTCCTCTTCTCTGAACTTGACTCCTATAGCTCCTATAGGAGCTATAACATGATGTATGTAATTTGTAGCTAGGTATGTAATTACACTCTTCTCTTTCTAGGAGGTGCAGAAACATTCTGTACACACGCTCGTGTTCAGGTCGTTGAAGAGAACCCATGACATGTTTGTGGCTGATAATGGAAAACCTGTGCCTTTGGATGAAGAGAGGTAGGGATAGTTCGTTTTCAACTGCTAGAATATTTCAACTTTTAATAATGGGGGATGAGAGCAGGGAGAAGGGAACCTGTAAAAATTAGTGAGTAATACTAACTCTTAGGAGGTCTATTAGTAATGAATGATGTTTGGGCATAATTTAAGCTGATTAACTTTTTTTTGGCTTTTTACAGAAAAATTCCCACTAATTAATTGCATTTTACAAATACCCAGTAATTAGGAGAGTCCCGTTTAGGTGTTATATTTTATAATCATTCACTTTGTATGTGCTTTCAGCTTCCTGCTGCTCTCAGAGCCTTGCTGAGCTGAAATTGTACCTGGCCAGTACCTCTACTCCCATCTTTTCTCGTTAGTATGATGAAGATTCTTGAGTGGTGGCATATTTTTGGTTCTACACCTCCAGCTCCAGTCTGGGATTGCATTATGTGCAGTGTTCCTTCTTTGTCCTTTACCCTTCTTTTAAAATCTACCTAATTCCTCAGACAAGCATTTATATTTAATTAACAAAGTGGGCTGTCCTTAAAAGTAGCATAATACTTGGATTTCTTTCTAAAATACTGAACTAAGTACTTGGATTAGTTTTAATTAGTCTTTCTAGATATATCCAGGAAAGGTTACTGTAGAAGTTCTTACTATATTTTTACATTTAGACATATGAAGGGAAGTATATGACTCTCAGGTTTTTTAAAGGATATATTAGTTTCTATATATTTTAAAATCATTTAGACCTTCGATAAATCAACATGAAGGTTTTTTTTAATTGGTTAACAAACCAAAATATACTCAGCTTAATGGATGCTGTGTGGTAGATTGTGAACAAAGTATGGAAATACACTTGGAAATTTCTTAAAATGTTGTTTAACTTTAAAATCTTACCAGAAACTTTGTCTACATTCAGATTAGGCAAGCTTAAGCTGTTTAAAAATTTGTGTCCTAGCTATCTATAAATACATTTATATTCATAAATATATTTAAAGTATTCAAAGATACATTTTTGTGTTTATAATTTTTAAATAGTCACAAACGGAAAATGGCAATCAAGCTGCGTAATGAATATGGTCCTGTGTTGCATATGCCTACTTCCAAAGAAAATCTTAAAGAGAAAGTCCCTCAGAGTGCATCAGATTCATATGGACACAAACAGTATCCTGCCAATCAAGGTGAGTGTGGCTTTGTCAGAAATGTCAGGATTTAAATGTGAATTTAAAAATAGATAAATGAAAATATGTTACTAGTTTAGTGCTCCTCCTGGAAGGACTTATTAGAATCACCACTGTACCAATATTATAGTGGAAGTCCTGATTTCCTCATTCCTCATAGTGAGTGAGATTATTGGTTGGTGGATTTTTTCCTTATATGAAATTGAAAAACAGTGTTATGATGATGACAGAGATTCTTAGGATATGGAGATAGTCATAGTGGAGACTAAAGGGAAAATTCCTAACCTGTGGAGAGGGCGTTTATCTGTTTTGGCTATAATTCAGAAAGGTGATATTAAGTACTAAAATCATAGTGAATAAAGATAATCCAGGGTTCCACAGGAAAACCGTTTTCTTAGAAGATAAACCTGAGTGGATTATTACTTGACAGGATGACCTTTCTATACACCATTGCTATGTAACAAACTTCCAAGCTTTCTTGATCTCACATCAGCAAATGACCAAGGAGATAGCTGTGTATATGTCTCCAGAAGACAAAACAAAAATGATCAACTTACCTTATTTCTGAAACTTGGTTAGTTGGGAAACTTTAAGAAATCCAATTGATAATTTAATACTATTTAATTCATTAAAAGAGATAGTACATGTATATAAGGTAATTTTGCCATTGATGAATTTTCTTTCGCTCTCTTTTTTTCAGTAGGACAAGAAGTTGAATATTTGGTGACAGGTACACATCCTTACCCACCAGGACCTGGTAAGTGAACTATTATATTTGAAAATGTCTTATCGTCACTTACATTTCCACAAATGAGCCAATAATATGATCCCCATTGCCTGTAAAATACAAAATAAGCTCCATAACCGGCTATTCAGGCAAAGCATTTTAGGTAAGAATTAACATAAGTTTCATATGCAGTCATTCTGCAAACTAAATTAAGCCCCTGTTTTTCATCAGGCACTGTGCTAAGAATTCAAAAGGCTGCTCCGGCTGATAAGCTTAGTACCTGGAGGTTTAGTTAGACACGTTAATATCACTAAGCTTCTAAAAGTGTTGAAAGTGTTAGTGTAGAAGCAGGTATAATAGAAACATATCCTGGCTATGTTGTGTGTGTAGAGGAATTAGCACACAACTAGAGTAGCCAGAGTCACAGAGCGGAGGACACAAAGCTTAGTATCTCTAGATTCTAGTAATTTTAAAGGACAGAATTCACCACATTGAAAGTATAGATAAATTGGTGCTTTTTGTTGTAGGAATTTGCATTTACCTTTGGAAACACTCTGTTAGTATTTGGGGAACTGCTTAATTTTTATGTTTGAAAGTAGTATCCTAAGATAATAGAGATTTAACTCATGTATTAAATTTAACTACTATGTTG